TGCGTGAGTTGATGTACAGCGAAATTGCCTCTAACCGAAATGTTTATCGTCATGTGTACGAGGATGACTTGGATGGCGCTCTCCGACGTATCCGGTGGGGAGGTGGACCTTGCGGCGAAAATCATTATTTTGACGCGCCCCTAGATCTGTTTGCCGTTGCAAACATTTACAAATGCGCAGTCATGCATTTCGGCCTGGGAGTGCATAGTCAAGCTTATTATCCTTGTACCACGGTTCTCCCTTGGCGGTCGCGTGAGACTGTCACCACACCGGTCAGAGAGCTAGCTATTGCGTTTCTTGGGTCGTCATACAGACATTTCATCCGACTAGACATGTCAACCGATTTTCCGGTGCCACCGATTATACCTCGGTGGTACAACATTCGCACAACGAGCGTAGAGGGTTGGGATGCGCTATATAATGACCGGATCCACGAATGGAACACCCTAGCTGCATTTTAGTTTTTCTTGTTTACATTCTTTATTTGTAATCTTATTTGTACGTTGCTCTTTTAATGAGAACATTAATATTTTATATTGTATTGCTTACTGCATTCTATATGTTGCATGGGTAAGTTGCGCGGATCCACGAACGGTTATATCAAAATTTAAAAACAGCACTGATAATATGTTTAAGTTGGAAGCTAAAAGAACAATCTAAAATGTTACAATTTTACAACTCCGCTGTCCATAATCGAGCCACCATCGGAAACTGGTCCCACGTCCCGGTCATGATATCCGGCCATTCCACGACGTACTCCCTCGACGATGCAGGTCGGACCGCCTTCATCGGGCAAGCCGGGGGAGGAGGGACAACTTGGACAAATCCAAGTTGGCGAAGACAACGCTGGGGCATGTACGCTTCGACGATGTCACGATACTGAATGAGTCCCGTGTACAGGGTCCTGGGTACCCTAACACTAGGGTTCGGGCCGAAAGGCATCCAGTTCACCTGTACAATTACAACATATAAAATATAATAACATGAATATAATATGTGCAAATAATAAAATGTAGACTCTATAAATAAACGTTACCTCTAAGGGGGACAGCCTGTCCAGCAATAACCGTATCGATCGGAGGCGGTCAACGGACTTCTTCTCCGAGCGGGGACTCCACGCACAAGCACGCGGCATCCCCTCATCAATAGGAACTGGGTCACGATGTGGTCGCAATGCAGGAAAATACTCGTATATCCAAGTCTGCAATAGAGTCAGACACCCAGTGATACCTGCCGCGTCAGCCCGACTCGCAAATCCTAGTTGGCGATACAAATACGCCAACGTAGCCGATCCCCAAGAAAACTGGCCTACACTGTCGGGGTCACACGCCTCTACGATGTCGCGTGGCCTGAGCTTGTTTCCGCCGCTCTTATCCGGAAACAAGGTACATCCGAGGAGTAGAAAAACATAAGCACTCAGCTGTGCGTCGGGCGTCCTACGTGCACTCGGGTACAAACACCGCTGCAACACAGATGCGATCTTCACACCTCCGTGTTCCCAAACACCTAGCGCCTCGGTGTACAGTGCAGCCCTATCCACCGCCAACAACTCCGCCAGCGAATCTGCCTGATCCGCATCAGCCACAGCACAAAGTCGTTTACCCTCAACACGAATCCCCAGAATGGCCTCGACGTCATGTAACATGATCGTCATCTCACCGAACGGAAGGTGAAAAGAGTTTGTATCCGGCTGCCATCGCTCAATGAAAGCCGTGATCAGCGTATTGTCAATCTTATCGTGCATGGTGGCAGGAACGTGCTTCACCCCAGTGCCCTCCAGTCGCTCGAACATCTCGCTCTCCGCCGGCCAGGCCTCAGCCCATGTACGCAAAAAACTACAAGTCTTTTCCCGGGTATGACATTTCAACAACCCCGTAACTGAAGGCCTCTCCTGGTCCTCCCAAATACGGGCAGCTATGTGTCCTAGAAAGCTAGGAATCACACTCCCGTCAACAGGCCCACCGGGCACCTCACTCCTAACAACCCAAGAATCATTACCCGCCCTCGACCGTTTCCTGCTTGCCCCAGAGACAGTGGACGCAGATGATGTGCCAGATCTACTAACAAATCTACCACCCCTACCCTTACGCACCTCCACCATATGCGTCTCGTACATGTCATCAACCCTCTGACTGAATGGACCGTAATCATCATACGGTCCACTGCCATCGTCCACATCCTCATCCTCATCTGCGCCCTCCTCCTGCTCCTCCTCCTGGTCACCCTCCTCAGCATCATCATCGTCATCGTCATCCTCATCCCGACGGTGGATCCGTTCTCTACGAACTGAGGCCGAAATACCACGGGATCTGACATGTCTATGTCCCGACCTCTCCACTGAATAACTTCTACTAAGAAACTCTATATTCTTCCCCCCACCATGACGACCCTACACAAAATTTTAAAATATATAAACATACAAAAATTTATACGATAAATAATCATCATCCCAAATCAAATACACTAAAAACAAACAAATAATAGTAAACAAAATATAAACGTAGAAAAAATACAACGAAATTGAAAAAATTTATAAAAATAAACAACAAAATATAAAAACAATTCAAAATTATATTACAAAAAAAAAAAAAAAAAAAATTTAAAAACAATTTTTTAGAAAAATTTAAAAAAAAAAAAAAAAAAAAAAGGGGGGCGCCCTGGCTGGACGCCCAGCCGGCGGTGGTGGCGCCAGATGCAGACGCCGCCACCAGTTGGCTGGCGCCTGGGCTGGACGCCACCGCCACGGTTGTGGCGTTTAGTCTAAGCGCCGCAACCGTGGCGGTGGCGTCCAGCCCAGGCGCCAGCCAACTGGTGGCGGCGTCTGCATCTGGCGCCACCACCGCCGGCTGGGCGTCCAGCCAGGGCGCCCCACCGCGTTCACGGCGGTTTTCCCCCTTTTTTTTTTTTTTTTTTTTTAAACAAAATATACCTTTCCACCTTGGGACATCCTTCCCTCCGCCGCCGCCGCCACTTCCTTGCCTTGCCGCCTCGACATTGCCGTTATTTTGAATTTTTTTTTTTTTAGAGAGGTTGAAAGAAGATGAGCAATGAGAGTGTGAGTGATGAGAGTGTGAGTGATGAGAGTGTGAGTGTTTTTTTTTTTAAGGTCAAGGGCAATTTTGGGAAACCAAGTGAATTTTGTGGGCTTTATGTAGTAATTTGTGGGCGATGTTTAACAAATCGGCTTATGATTGGAGTTTATACTTGTATGTATCTAAGTATCTTTATCCCACTATCTCTCTCGCAAATGGTTATCCAAATTTGACAAATGTAATATTCTTTCAGTATTTGCCTTATCCATGCTAGTGTATAAGTCAAGTAAGATTTATTGGCTCGGTAAGATTGTTGCGTTGAACTTAAGAGGTTTGATTTTTGTAGTTTATCAAATGAGAGTTATTAGAGATTTGAAGGTAATGATCTCTTTATCTCTTCGGTTCTTCCTACATATATGCCTAACTTGCAAATATAGAACAGATAAAATTATGAAGCCGGGTTGAGATATGGTCGAGGCTCTTCTCCTTTATCCTATTTGGAGTATAATATTAGTGTACAGTAGTTATGGGACAAACAAAAGAGTATAGAGGATTAAGTAGATCTATATGCAAGAGTTTGAAAAGAGATATGAAGGGTTGACCTTAATGGATACATATAATCCTTCCGTCCACAATAATAGCTATGTATTATCCTTGAAAATATCTATAATGTACTGACATTTTGTTACTTAGACTAAAAAATTTTCTTACTTAACTCATGTGATGTAGACCCCTTCACTAGCTATTTTTCTCTCGCACTCTTATGGTCTCACACTCTCACCCAACCATATTAAATTCCTTATTTTCTTAATATGTATGCTGAAGCCTAATAGGAAGGATTTTTAGTCTATTCACATGGAAAGAGAGAGTGCAAAGATCCATTATTGAAGGGTTTTTGTTTTTTGTTTTGTTTTTTTTTGAAATTAAGACATGAATAATCACATGTTTTGAAATTAAAACAGTAATATTATGTACAACCGTGTTCTTTTTGAGTTTGTCACAATTCCTTTAAAAAATATTCACATGTTTTGAAATTAAAATAGTAATATTATGTACAACTGTGTTCTTTTTGAGTTTGTCACAATTCCTTTTAAAAAAAAGTTTGTCACAACTCACAAGAATAATATAATACGAAAGTATAATTATAATGAGCTATGTGATCCAATAGATTAAGAAACAATAAAACCATTATTGTCCGGTAATATCAAAACTTTACAATACAAAATTAAAAGCATTTTGAAACGTTTGTTGAGAAAAGCTAAGAAAATTGGATATTTTATATGAAAGACATGGTAGAAGTTTTAGATTAATAGTTTAACTTATACTTCCTCATACCATTATTTTTGCCACTACAACAAATTTATCCATCATCGTAACCAAGGAAGAAACGAAAATTTTGCGTACAAGTGTAACTACCTTGGCAACAATCAACACTCATTTATATCAAACTAACTCCTTTTAATATCATATTAATTCAGATAAAACACGTTTTCATTAAAAACATTCAAGATTCAATTGTACAAGTCACCCCTTCTTTCTTTCTCATCACAATCCAAGTCACAAATCAAAATCTCAAAACGGCCATCAAAGTAAAATCCTTCCTTAAAAAGAACCCTAGAATCTAATCCCCTTTTATATTTTTTCATTTCATTTTAAATTATTACAACAAAAATACTCAAAATAATAAACACCATAAATTTTGATCCCAAATCAAAAAAATGGCCATCATCCTGGTCCTATAACTCGCCATCACCACACCTCTTGTGTTGTCTCAATCACCAATTTTCTTTCTCCTAATCTCTTCATTCATACATTCTATCTATGTCACTTACACAATTATGTAACTATATATGTAGTTTTTCCCATGTTTTTGCCTCAAAATCTTCACCCATTTTTCTGGGTAATTTTGGGTGATAAATAATTAAATTCTTCTGTTTTCTAAAACCCAAAATCCAAAATTTTGAAATTATGGCAGTGAAAAAAGTTGCAGAAAATTTCTCAAAGAGTTTGATTGATGAAGTTCATAAATGGGGTTCGATGAAACAAACTGGAGTAACATTAAGGTATATGATGGAATTTGGATCAAAACCCACTGATCGAAATTTGTTGATTTCTGCTCAGTTTCTTCATAAAGAGCTTCCCATTCGAATTGCACGTAGAGCTATTGAACTTGAGTCTCTTCCTTATGGTTTATCTCTTAAACCTGCTGTTTTGAAGGTAATTTATTATTTTTGTCATTTTGGGGTTTTAATTGGGTTTTTATCGCTGTTTTTGTTGTGAATTTTGTTGGGTTTTTGCTATTTTATGAGAATTTTCATTATTTTGGTTGAAAATTTGAAATTTCGGGGTTTTTTTTGGTGGGGTTTAGTTGGAACTGAAATTATGTATTGCATTTTAATTTATACTTCGTATATATTTGAGTGCTGTAATTTTGATGTCGAGTATTGTTCTGTATTTATTGGCATTGGAAATCTGAATTTTTCTGGTAAATTTGCAAACTAAATTTAATGTTATTTTTGTTGGAATTGAACTTCCATTTTGCATGTACTTTTGCAGTTGAATTGGGTTATTTTGTTATCAGTAATACAATAGTAAGCTTGAATGCTTGATGAATGAAATGGTAAAAAGTTTGTGAAATTTGCAGGATATATTATTATTATTATTTTTTATTTATTTAAGAACCCTTTTCTTTATTGGATAATTTGATATTGCAAAATGCTGTTGATTTGATAGAGAATATTATCTATGATGATCCATAATAGTAAAGAGTATCTGAAGAATTGTTTATGAATGTGTATTATTTAGGTTTTTTAATGCTATTTTAATAATCAAAGTTTGATCTTTTGAGAATAATTTTTCTGTTGGGTGTCTCCTTTGGTTCATTCACTGTCATGCGGTGTTTGCTCTCCTGTTCTTCACTGAGAGTAATTAGGTGATGATATCATATTGTGTGCGTCATTTTCTTGCCAAAAAAAAAAAATAAAAACATGATTTTAAGTTTACTTTGGCAGATCATAAAATACTGATAAATTGCTAAAATTTTATCTCCTACTACTATATTATCTCTCTTAGGAAAATTTAAGGCTCCTATTGTTGGCCCAAGTCACCCAACCTCTTCCGTGGCCACGCCCTGGCTTCATTAAATACACATTCCCTCTGTTCCACAAAGTTACTCATGTTTATAGTTATTCTCTCCCGAGACCAATACAAAACAATAAAGTTGGGCAATTGGGGTCCTCATGTGCAGGAAAGAGAAAATCACATCTTGATAAACAATTGATGTGTCCCAACTCCCAAGTGGTGGATCATTTGAGGTTAATATAGAATATAAAACTTGCCATAAAAGGAATAAAGCTATATAATGAGGAAGCTTATGGAACAGACTTAAATGAAAAGAGAGAGGGATTTTGTGGAAAGGAGGAAGTGCATTATCATCTATGCAGTAGACCAGTAGTAATTATTGCTTTTCAGTTGGATTGCATAAAATTTATTAGGTGTGTTTATACTTTATAGTGGAAAGATGAGAATATATACAAGATAGATGATGAATATGCGTGTTACTGATCTAACAATATACGTTGGTTTAAATGTCAATTAACACTTTAATGGCTTAGCGCCATGAATAATATGGGATTCTTTAGTGAATTCTGGCAACATAAATCCCAACCATAGCTAATATATTGACCTGTATTATATATGATCAGTATATGTATACTGAATCTGAAAGATCCTTCTACTTTTTCCATCAGAAGAAAGGTCAAGTTTTTGTAGTTTGGATTCCAAGGATACCATCATTTGATTCTGAGGATGCCATCATACCTTTCTAAGGATCCTGTAAACTTCCATGAAGGCTCTTCCCAAAGAAACTTTTCATTCTTACATTGTTCACTTAACTTTCTTTGACCTTGGCACTTTTAAGTGTTGTAACATACTGGCCTGTCATAGGGCTGATCTTTATCTTGAGTTGTAGTCCAAATATAAGCTTTCATTTTGTTTGCTACTGGCAATCAAATTTATACATGAAATTAATAGTATCAGATTTATTTGAGTGATTTTGCAAAGAGTGTGTTGAGTACTTGAGGGACTTATTGTTGTAACCGATTGGCCAGACTCTTTCATCAGGCGCCTGAGAATACAAGAGCTAGACTCCAGCAAACTAAGAAAGTTATTGCAAATTACGAATTATGTTAGCTATGACTTAGATGACAGTCTTCAGTGGGATTAGGGGAAGTATACCTTGAGAATTTCTACTTTTATTGATGAGTAATATGTCTTTAATTAATTTGTTCTTATGCTTCTCACCACTAGAAGAGTTTACTGTTATAAGCTTCCTCAATGGATAATGTATTAGAATAGCTAGCAACAGTGCTGTAACAAAAACATGTCTGCTTCATGTATACTGTTGTGTGCAAGTTTTGTCAACTCATTTTGGAAGTTAGAGTTATTATGAATTTTTCTCATGGGACCCCTTGTAAACGTGTTATGAATTACCCTGGGGTTTGCCAAAATCATCAGCATTTAATATCATCTTATAATGTTATGAGTCCATTTAGTCATGCTGAGGTCTTTGAGTATGAGGTTGAATTATGCGAACTGAAGAGCAGAGGTGGTTGTTTCTTTTGTATAAAAATTTGTCGTTGACTAAGGAGCTATCATTATTACTATATTAATAATTATAAACTCTATTTCCTTCTTAGGTGCACGATTGGTATGTGGATTCTTTTCGTGATCTCAGATCATTCCCTTCAATCAAAGATAACCGTGATGAATTAGATTTCACCCAAATGATTAAAATGATTAAAGTCAGACATAATAATGTTGTCCCAATGATGGCCATGGGGGTCCAACAACTGAAGAAAGGCATGGATCCCAAGATTGTATATGAGGACTTGGTCGAAATACACCAGTTCCTTGATCGCTTCTACATGTCCAGAATAGGGATTCGTATGCTCATAGGTAGTTCCCGTTACTTTATCTTTCTTTTTACTTTTCATTCTTATTTTGCTGTCTACACTAATTCAATAGCATTGGTTTTTTCCATTCAGTTTTCCCCCCTTGCTATCACAGATAAAACCAATTAATAGTGCTATTTTTTTTCTTTTGGCTATATTCAGGGCAGCATGTGGCTTTGCACGATCCAAATCCTCAACCTGACCGTATAGGGTATATACATACAAAAATGTCTCCCGTAGAGGTTGCCAGAAATGCTAGTGAAGATGCTCGTGCAATTTGCATGCGCCATTATGGCAGTGCACCTGAAATTGATATCTATGGCGATCCCAACTTTACATTTCCGTAAGCTGTTCTGTATACATATATATATTTCTCTGCTGTACTAATTATTATCTCTTTCCGAAGGTGCTTTAAACTATTAGTTATACAGCACATGAAACCTTGTGCTTAAGAATAGTCTAGGTTATACAAGATGTGTGTTTGAAAAAGAGGATAAGAGAGATACACGCTACAGAGTAATATGATGCATTGCAAAATTATAGCCAGCAAGGCTTAGAATTGAAGTTGTCTGTTCCCAGGGACACCCTAAAGTCCCGATCAAATGCTTTTATTAGTTAATATTATGATTATGCATATTGAGATGCTCATAAACAAAGATGGAAGGCCTTGCAGAAAATATCTCTGATTTGAACACTGTGATGTTGTCTTTGAGGTGTCTTGGACAACTTGATTAGCTATTTTGAATAACTTGTTTTCCCTTTGTTGTATGCTTGTCAACCACTGTATAAATTGGTAATCTTCATCCTAAGTGGCAATATATCCTAGGGATTGATCAAGATGGATTATACATAATGTGGAGTAGTGGACCATGGTCTTGGTTAGTGGGGCCTGTTTCTGTTTCAGAACTTTTGCATCTCATTTTGGCTTTCCCAAAAATGTCTGCATGGTTTCTATAAATGCATGAATAATGATGTGGTAGTGCATTTGTTGCAATCTCGGCTTATTTTATTTGACTCCATATGTTTTGTCAACCAAATGTCCAAATCATTGGTAAAGGAGGCTATGCAAGGAATTTAATGATGCTGGCTGATAAATATTTGTCTGAATGATCTTTTGTATTCTCCATTGGATTTTGAACCTGTAGTCCTGTGAATGGAATTCTATAATAATGCCCATTTCTTTTTTGATGCCAGGTATGTACCTTCACATTTACACCTTATGGTTTTTGAGTTGGTTAAAAATTCCTTGCGTGCTGTTCAAGAGCGATTTATGGACTCAGACAGTGTGCCTCCTATTCGTATCATAGTAGCTGATGGAATAGAGGATGTCACGATTAAGGCATGTTGATGCTTTTGAAGACTTTTGCTTTTGTTACAATCTTCATACCTCAGTGTGTTTCTTGACTTCCGTGATGCTATTGTAGGTTTCTGATGAAGGAGGTGGGATTCCAAGAAGTGGTCTCCCTAAGATTTTTACATACCTTTACAGTACTGCTGAGAACCCGTTGGATGAGCATACAGATCTTGGAACTGGTGATAATGTGACTATGGCTGGATATGGTTACGGGCTTCCTATAAGTCGGTTATATGCTCGTTATTTTGGAGGAGACCTGCAAATTATATCCATGGAAGGATATGGTAAGTCTTCTTTTCTCAGAATTTCTTCCCCTGTCTGGCTGTCTCCCATGTATTGTTATGCAGCTTATGCTCCTAATATTTAGCCTCAGTTAGTACCTATATACTATTGAACTATGTAGTAGTTTGTTCTCATTTGGGGAATTGAGAAAAGGTTATGAGGTTTAATCTGCTACAGAGAATATTAGACAATATTGTCTTGTAAAAAGTAAAAGATATAAGTCAAATGCATAGTTCATGTTTTCAGTTCCTTTATTGAAGTAATCAAGTAGATCAGTAGATGAAATAATTAAGTTGATAGGTCAAGTCCAAATTTTTAAATCCAGAACTGTAAAGAACAGAGGAGCTTTGAGTTTGACTTATAGAACAACAACAACAACAACTAGGCTAATAGCATCCATCTGATGTTGGGCTACCAATAGCTCGCTTATGGCAATGTTTCTGTTTTGTACACATCTTCCCCAATTTTGTCAACTGCAAGCATGTGAACATCCAACAATTTGATGATCCGTCGTCCCTCGGACCAGAGTCACCGGACTGACCCTTCCTTGGTAAGATCCCAGCCTTATATTGCTAGAATGGCGCCGATGAAAACTGTTTTAAGTCACAAGTATAACCCATCCTATATGTGGACTTTGGCAATAATAATGAGTCTCAGCTTTTCCCATTGACCTTCCGTAGCTTAATCCTTAATCTCCAAACATACATCTGGTCAAAAATTGGGAGAATTTTAACACATCAAGAAGCTGGATATTTATGTTACTAGTGGAGTATTGGTAATTGTTGGTGCTGCCATTTGCCAAATCTTCCTTTTCTAATGGATTGAATTCTTACCCTAACCCTTGTCATTGCTTCCACATCCCTCTCTTTCATACTTATGCAGACAACTATCTTCGATCACCAATGATTGTGTTCAGGTCTATATTCTTCTCATGTTATCAACTTTTAACATAATATAATTCCCAGGCTCCATATTTATTTGAGGATAATCTGTGCAGCCTGTAACTGTTGAGCATTCTTGGAGATTTATTTTAGCTCTTGTATGTAAATTTTCGTCAATCCACAGAAAAGATGTGACTCTCTGGGTGCATTGTGGGAAAGTTGAACTCCATGAATCTTGATTCTCAGGAGCTGCCTTGCGAAGCGACTTGGAGAAAGCATCTGCACAAAGAAGGAAATTGTTGACAAGTCCTGAAATATGGCCCCTCGGAGACCCTAAGATGGAACCACCTCCCCCTTAGCAAACCATTTATCACGAAAGCCATGGATACTCTCTTGCCTACACCATTTGATTCACTCTACCAGCCATAAACCCACATTAGCAATTTTACATCACCTTCTCTAAGAAAGTTCACTCCATACAAACTTTGCTCATGCTTGTTAGATGATCAATAAATGATCAAATGGGCTTTGATTAGCAAGTAAAAGTATGTGTTTTTGGGCAATGTTAAGATAATATTTGCAGCATTCAGATAATTGTGTATTATGTAATGCTTTTTCAGTGAGAATCGTGGTTTCTGATAGTAATTATTAGGTAGTTTATATTTGCTGTTGCAGCCACCATAAGCTTCTGATAAATCGGATGTTCTTATTACATTGTTGCAGGTACAGATGCCTATCTACACCTGTCTCGTTTGGGTGGTTCTCAGGAACCTCTGCCGTAGCCTGTAGTAGCGCAGCTGACAAGCTGTTTATTTCAATATACTTACACTTCCAATGGTTTACTTGATTAGATGGTGATTATGAGAAAAGAGCATGTATTGTTGAGATTTATATGATAAATTGGTATTGTCATCCTTGTAATCTTATTTTTAGCAATGGAAATCCTGCCTCTGGGTTCCTTTACTCCTGTTCGCAAACTACCCTCTGCCCTGCCCCCCTGTTCCCTCCCTGCCCCCAACACAGAAGGTATTAATTTTTGTGGCATGCCAAGGGGCAGTTATCCCAAAAAAAAAAAATGTGAAAAAGCAATGGTTAAGGTGATGTATGATTCTTACAGGGTAATGGTGTTGGCATGTGTAAGCTACATACAGCTACGCTTCCATCCTTTGGTTTGGTGTTTTAAAAGTATTTGAAACGGAATTATTTAAACGTTACAATTACCGGTTTGGTATGAGGGGTGTATATAATACACTTCATACTCTGAGGGTAAGGGGTAACCAATTAACCATTACCACTCCTTTATTACCCTTTTCAACCCTATGGTAACAAAACTGTGAGTCTGTGACCCTCTTCAATCCTCAAGTTGATACAAGAAGTTTATAATCTTAGTTAAATCAAAGACACATGCTTAAACTTGGTAATCTACTCTATTCACATATTAAATCACACAAATAACAAAATGGATGTGGAGGAGCTGTTATAACTCTTAATAAGAGACTGAAATAGAAGTTGCTTATGGAATCAGGCATTTGGAAAAGAAGAAAACTTGTGAGACTTGATTTCTTTTGCAAATTTCAAGTTATTAGGAAAAAAAAATAAACAAAAATAAAAGCTTAGAGTTGTACTCCACAGATAAGTCCTTTGAATTATAAGGTGTTGTTTGGTTGGAAGTAAAATACATAGGAAATTCTATTTCCTAAGAAATGGATATGACATGTATTGTTTGGTTGACACAAAAATATCAAATTGGGGGAAATAGAAATTCTGAGGGAAGTTTGAATTACCATGAAACGTGGGAAATACTTACCAAGCCCCCCTTGGTAAGTCACATTTCCCATAATTATTGTGAGGCCTAATTGCATTATTAGTACTAATAATTTAATCTCTTTGTTTCTCTCTCCAAATTTGTCCACTTAGTTAAAAACTAATCAAGCTAACTAATAAAACATAGGAAATCAATTCCCAGGAAATTTAAGTTTCTACATCTTCAACCAAATAAACAAATGTCAATTCCTAGGAAATGGACAAGGGAAATTACTTCCCATGAAATATAATTAGCTTTTGGGTCCGTTCTATACACGGGCTGTGTATAGGTTATTATTTATTTACTAAATATATTCAAATTAAAATTCTTTATTTGCATAATAGTTATATAATACCTTGTATCAAATAATTGAAAAACAATCCCTTGTCATAATTTTACATTTGTAAATCAATATATGAAATTACAAAGTTTTTCTTCACCAATTTATTTTTCTTGCACGCTTAATATCTTGAAATTATTTTTTATTACATGCAGGCAATTTCGTATAAAGAAATTAGTTCCTAAGTTCTTACACCAAACACTTCTTTTTTTCTTATCATTCATATCTTTCTTATTTGCCGCTTCATTTTATCTCATTTTTAATCATGATATTCATCGTTGCAATAATTTTAGAGATGTATAGGTCTTTCAATATATATATATATTTTTTTTTCTTTTGGGGTGATATGAAAGAAATTTATATTAGGAGAAGATGATTAAGGGTCAATGAATAATTGAAAGACGAAGAGAGTGAAAGAGGAAGAGCAAGAGGCCGGATAACATTAAGAGAATTCAATTTATTGTATTAAAGTGAAGGTTATAGAATTTAAAAGTCAAGAAAAGAAAAAAAAAATAGTAAAGAAAGTTAAAAGGAAAGGGTACATGTGGCGGATTGGTTTGAATTTTGGTTAAAAAGAGAGGTGTATATGTGGCAGATTGATTTGTATTTTGGTTTAAAAGAGAGATGTACATGTGATGAATTGGTTTGTGTTTTTAAATACTAAGTATAAATAGATTTCCCATGGGAACTCATTTCTCATATCAACCAAACAACACCTAAATTCTAGCAATACATATATGTCCATACTCCATAGTATAATCATGATTTAATGAGATACACTAAGTATAAAGTTTATATCAACGAATAAATTAATTCACCGTACATTTTTTTTCCTTCTCGTGAACCCGGTTTCCTAATGATGTTTTTGAGAGATTTCCAAAGAAAATGCCCAAAGTTATCAAAATTCCTTACTCACGCCTTATTTTTACAAAATTAACAACCTACCATCCATGTAAGCAAAAAACTTGGCTTCCTTTGACAATACAAAAATAATACATTTTTCCCGTAAAAAAAAAACCAAAGTAAAAAAAGTAAAAAAAGGAATTAATGCTTTTTTATTTTTATTTTACGGTTTTACCTTGAACAAAATTAGCAGTTTTCCAATAGCTAGGGTGGCGCGAGGCGCACGTCATAGCTAGTCATGTTTAGAGAGCCCTTTCACTTGTTAGCAAATTGAGGGAAATTATGCAAACAAATATTTTTAGGGATGTAAATGTCCGCACACTATTCTTAACAACTCCAAAAAAAAAAAAGGCAATTAACATTAATGAGGACAAATAAGTAAATAAATATGTTAGAGGATATAATTGTCCAAATATTATTCATAAGAGTTAAATCATGTATCACACAAGGAAAAGCTAAGATAAAATTAACATCATATCAATATGGGCATATAAATAAACAAATATTTTAAGGATATAAATGTCCTTACACTATTCATAAAGTGTTCTCATACTTTTTTAAAGGTAAGGGGAAAAAATTGATATTTGTAATCACTGATGTAGACGGTAAATTGAGAATTTTGTAAAATGGGGCATAATTGAGGAATTTTGATCTTTTTGGCATTTTTTAATGGAAATTGATCTATATTTTTCTTACCTTCCCAACAAAAAAAAAATAAAAATAAAAATAAACATAATCTAAATTACTACAATAGAATTTATTTCTTTTTTCGTCAACGATCTAGAAATTCAAACCTTTTATGTGATCTAATCCAAGTATCCAACCCATCTAATTTTATTTTATTTAATTTTTTTAAAGGTAATTTGCTCACATTTTTTTTAAAAAAAGGTAATGAAAATAACATCTAAGTCCATGATTACATTTGCACAAGAAAATTCAAGTTTATCACCTTTATCAAGGGGTGTTTTTGTAAATTCACGTGGCAAGATGGGGTTATATTTGTAAAATCCATGTGACCATATTTATTATGTCACGATTTCCGTTTGCTGGCCATTATAACCAAAAATTCATGGAGCTTTCAAGAAGGGATGCACAAAGGAGCTTCAATGAAGGAGGGGAATCTCACAAACAAACACAAACACCTACCCTAAAGGGTTAACCATTCCCCTCATTTATATATTTTCGTAGGCTTTTTCTTTGAATTCCACCGTCGAAATACAATTATAATTTCTCTAATGAAGCACCTTCTAAGCTCAGTGTCCTCCTCTGAAATAGTACTCTGATTACTCCAATGAAGCAACTTATGAGCTTTTGGTCGCCATGGGAGGGGAGGACTGGAGGAGAAGAAAGTAACAATTACAATTTTTCCATTAAAACAACTTATGAGCTTTCGGTCGCCATGGGAGGGGATGAGAGAGATAATTGATATTGGAGAGGAAATGGTAGATTGGTTGCCATGGGAGGGGAGGAAAGAGAAAGTTGAAAGCAGAGAGAATGAAAATTTATTTTGATGAGGATTGAGTAATCATTTTTTTTTTTTAAATTTTCTTTTATTTTCTTATTTTAAATTCCTTTTTATTGAGTCAAAAACAAGTGGATGTAATTACAAATTTGCCATTGAGATAAATATTTTTTGTTTATCTAATACTCTAGGAGATTAATGGGGCTGCAGTACTGCACAAATGTATGTACTGTAGAGAGTGAGAGATAACTCAAATGGTTAGAGCCTCTTTTCCGATTCCAGGAGATTTTGGGATTGATTTTCACCTCCGCCTTTATCACTCTCTAAACATCAAACAAAAATAAATATATATATATGTACTATAACAAAATCCATATGTTAAAATTAGAAAAATTCATATATCACAAAACAAAGAAAGTACAGTAAAATAACTAAATGAGTAATAAAATAATGAGACAAAACGTCATAGAACACAGCCTGTAAACATTCACACGATACTCTTTCTATTTTCTATTACACCAAACCAACAATTGATTGATTCTCTCTCTCCAACTTTCCCTCGCCCTAACACATTCAATCATTCCTCCCACTACCCTCTCAATTTTTGTCTCCTCAAGAACCCTAATTTTTCTCTCCTTTTTCCTTCAATTTCTTCTCACTTTTTTGAATTTTTGTTCTTTTTTGTAGGTTTCAATTTAGGGTTCCAGTTTTAGTAATTTTCTTCAGATCAAAAGCTCGTCACTCGATTTGAATTTTTCAAACAATCACACTGTTCTGTTTGTTTGTTGGAATTTGTGATTTGGGGATAATTATGTACGTTAGTTAGGGTTAAGCATTATTAAGAGTTTGGATTTGGAGTGTAGCTTTGCCGGATTTTTTGAATTCCGGCGAAAATGGCGACTGATTTACCGATGAATCCTCAGATGGAGCAGATCCATGGCGAAATTCGCGACAATTTTCGAGCTCTTGCGTAAGCTCCTTTCTCTTACTTTTTGTGTGTCAATGTCACTAGGTTAGTGATGATTAGTTCAATTTTGGGTTAGTTTTAAGTATTTTTGTTTCGATTATAATCTTGTTTATTTGTAAAAGAGAAATGTGATGTGCAAATTGCTAATTTTGGAGATTAGTTGTTGTAGTATGTTACGAGTAGTTTACGTTATTCTTTGATCATTGTGAAGGAATTTCGCCATGATGTGAATAATTGTCATTGTTGACAAAATGATGGTAACTTTTTGGCCCGTAACTTAAAGGACTGGCAATGTGGATATATTGTCTTGTGTTATTCGGGTACTATTTCGGCTAAGCTCAGCTACTACCTATGGTTCAGTGAAATCGTAGATCCGTACTGCACTTGCATGTGACTAACATTTGATGGTTGATACTGAACATTAGCCCTTTTTTTGGTTGGGTGCATTGTGGGATTCATTTGAGCCATCTGTTTGTTTTAGTGTGAGGACTGAGAACTAAAGTGATGTCGAACAGATTTCAATGGGTTTCCATTCCTGTTGTTCTATTTATGTCTCTTCAACGGAGAAATGTGGGTTCCAAGTGAACTGACAACAGACATATTGGGCTTTTTTGCTGTGGCAATCAAGAGATGTCAGGATTCCACATTGTACTTTTGAAGGATTTGGGCTTTCGTGGTGCTAATTGAGGGATATCAGGCTTTCTTGGTATGCTATCTGAGAGATGCTGGGCATTTGTTCTGTGCTAAATGAGGGATTTGGTGTTCATTCTGTGCTATCCGAGGGATATCAGGTTTTCGTGCTGTGCTATTTGAGGGATATCGGGCATTCAAGCTGAGGGATGTTGGGCATTTATGTTGTGCTAATTGAGGATGTTGGGAATTCATGCTGTGCTATATGAGGGTTGAAGGGTTTTTGTACTGAGCTATTTCAGGGTTTGTGGTCTGATTTTTATTCTGTCAGTAGAATGTCATTTCTGTTGCTGTCAACACGGAAAAAGTGAAATCAAAGCTGAAATTCCTCAAGGAGGAATCATTTGTTGTTTTAATTTGCCTTTTTATCTTAAATTCTATCACTGTATCATGTAATAACAGCCTTTTTCAAACCAGTGTGTGATCACCTTTGTGACTCAGCCGTTTGTTGCTATTTTCAAATATCTTTTCATGGGATCTGAATAGCATTTTTCCACCCACCTTTATAGTAAGCTATATAGCTTAGCATGGGCAATTATTTTGGTGCCTCATTTTCTTCATCCTCTTACTCAGATCTAAAATGTTCCCAAATACCTTTTCCTCTTGGCATGTGCTGCTGTGGTTGGAAAATTAAGCATATGTGGCCTGGGTAGGAAATCCAATTTCAGTAAGTTTTGGTTTGAAACATTCTTGTATCGATGTGGTCTGAAGTAGTTTGGTATTGATTTGGTCTAGCGGGTTCTAAATCATATGTTGAGATAGAATTTCATACATCCCTCAACCTCTTTAAAAATATCTATTCTTTTACGGCTATGGCAAGCTGTGCCATGTGTTTTCAGTTCTAATGCTGAGAAAGGAGAATACCGTCTGCTGATTAAATGGTTGGAATTTTGAGTGCTGAAAACAGGTAGTTTACTAGTTTATGAGTTTAGAATGTCAATGTTACAAGTGATGGGCATCTGATAAGTTCTTATGTGGTGAATTACTTTGGGAGTATTACGGACAGAGCATCTTGGATGTTATATTATTAAAAGTTGTTGAAACTCAATAAATAATCTTTAAAACTGTTGTAGCACCAATGATATTACCCTGCTCTAAATTTTGTGCATTCATGTGGGCATGTGGCTATGTGCAAAATCCTGCTCTGTTGTAATTTTTATGGAAATTCATTTAGATTTTGGCTAGAGTTATATTACTTTACTCTATTGCCAGAAATAGACAACTTCTTGGCACAAGGTGCAAGTTCTATTGAAATTAGGGAATTTAAGATGAAGCAGAAGTGTTAAAAGATTACAGAGGAGCATCGTTAGGATTTGGATTGGAGATTGGGATGTCATTCTCAAGCATTCTCGGAGGTCAAAATTTCAATGGATTTGATAACTTGTCAACTTTAGTAGCTATTTTCTTAGCCAATACTGTGTTTTGAATTCATTGAATTTACTGCTTGCAGACATATTTTAATTTTTCATATGATTTGTAGTTTCTCTTATAAAAATATTGCATTTTGAATTTTTTGAGGAGAGTTTTCTTTAATTTATATCGGTAATGTTGTGGTGGTGGTAGGGGGGGGGGGGTTTGGTAGGGGTTGCATGCGATTGTCACATATATAAGTCTTTCACCCCTATTTTGATCTTGTGTTTTCTTTGTAGCAATGGTTTTCAGAAATTGGACAAGGTCAAAGACCCAAATAGACAAAGCAAGCAGCTGGAAGAACTTACAGGGAAGATGAGGGAGTGTAAAAGGTACATTAAATGTTGTTTTTACTTCCCATAATGCAACTCCTTTGAATCTTTAACATAACTTATAATTCTAGTACTGTGGTTTGGTGGTGCTGAAAACTGGAGTATGACTCTTACAGTCTTACCTTATGTAACGTGACCATGGAGACTCTAAATACAAAACACCGTTATGTGTGAAGAGAGAGAGAGAGAGAGAGAGAGAGAGAGAGAGAGAGAGAGAGAGAGAGAGAGAGAGAGAGAGAGGGAGGGAGGGAGGGAGGGAGGGAGGGAGGGAGGGAGGGAGAGAGAGAGAGAGAGAGAGAGAGAGGGGGGGGTTTGTTTTTTTTTTTTTTTAATTGTCTTCTTGTTTGTTTGTTTCTTCTCCCCCCTCCCCCTTTCTACTGTGATTAAGTAGTGATTGAATATCTTTGAGTGTTGGTTTTTATTTATTCCTACTTCCTCTTGCTCTTTAGATTAATTAAGGAGTTTGATCGGGAAATTAAAGACGAGGAGGCCAAAAATCCGCCTGAAGTCAACAAGCAACTCAATGATGAGAAGCAGTCTATGGTTAGAAACCTTACTTTACTCTTAGAGGATTCTTAGTCCAAACAATAATTTCATAAATTACTTTTTATGTGTGTGCCTGTCATAAAGATTAATTTTTCTATGGCAAAAACATAAATATAAAGTTATAAATTGTAATTACAGAACTTCTAGGAGCATTGCTAGTGCTGCAATGTAACTCAATGAATATGGAGAACTTTCATGGTCCTGTTTGCTTCATTGTTTTTTTGAAATTAGTTGTTCAGATTAACAAAACCCACAACTGTTTTTTGATAACAATAGTGACACATTGAAATTCATTCCTCAATGTATATAATATCACTCTTAGACTTATTATTTATCACAACTGTTTTTTGGTAACAATAGTGACACATTGAAATTCATTCATAAGTATCAGAAATAAGGCAGAAATAAAGTCCTTGATTTGTTTCTCTCTTTTGTTGGAGATAGAGGTTGTAAATTACATAGTTTTATACTGGGATTCACTTGAGCAATCTCTCTGTCTATAGTGGATTATTGCAGCTTTCACATCATATTCCTGTTTGTGCCAAACTCCAATACAAGGAGTCTTGAAGCAGATTACTTAGTTTGGTAAGATATGCTTACTTGGGAGCATTATCACTAATGGTAATTTGTGTAGGGTTCTTTTGTTCATTGATCACTTTGGTACAAGAACCCTAATCAACTAAGTGGAGTGGGAGGGGAGGGGGATCCAACCTTTAGTTCTGGTTTGTAATCAGTCTTAAGGCTGAAATATTGAGAAGGTTTTAAAATTTCTCCTTTTGAAGATCAGCTTGTTTGAGTGTTGAAAACTATGCCTTGTCAAAGGTTATACACTTTATTTTTAACGGAACATTGTTTCTTTTACTGAGATTGGGCACGTAGATTTAGGTTAATTGAGAGGTGGAAAGTTGTGAAGGTTTTATTTTCCATTAGTGATTTACAATAACTCTAACCCATTTCTGGAGGATGTGGAGTGGGAAAAATATAGTTGCTTGCACCAAACCTATTGCTTTCGCTGCACCTCTCGATGTAGAAGGTTGCAAGGCTCTGGGGTTATCAAGTTTGCAGAAGCGCCAAAAAATTGTGTTAAAAAACATAATCCATGCCTAGTGGGTTGAGATAAATTTTATTGGTCACCAGGGCACTTAGTTGCTTATTGATTGGCAAGATGATGACAACAATAAACCTGCCAACTTTGAATGCTGCTCAAAATAAACATTGTATTCTGTAATCTGGAAAGAGTTGATAACTTATTGTGTATACTTGGCCGCGTAATCTCTATTTATCAAGGGTAGTTGGAAAGCTCTCTGGCTCATTTGTAAGTCCACAACATTTTGGATACTGCCTCATCTTTGTAATTGCGACCTTAGTTTTTCTTTGCTTATGCTTTTCAGTCACTTGAAATTCGATATTGGAGAAAGAGATTTACTTAGGATTGTTAAGTACTTTTAAATTGTCCTGATATTTCATTCCATTTAATGCTAGATTTGTAGGCTGCCTTTGTTTCTTTCATTTAACTGTTTTTTTTATTTTCTTCGAAAAATTTTGCAGATCAAAGAGCTAAATTCATTTGTGGGCTTAAGGAAGACGTAAGTTAACCTCTTTAACTTTACTGATATTTTTTATTTTTTTTATATTTGTTAATTGTATGTCTAATTAAAAATTAGTGGGCTTCACCATAAATATGTGATACTTGTGGCCTTTTGTGATACTTGTTATATATGTATATATCAAATGAACCTGTTTTCGTGGCTGCTTATGTTGTAGATATATGAGTAGCCTTGGCAATAAGAAGGTAGAATTGTTTGACATGGGAGCAGGAACCAGTGAACCAACAGCTGAAGAAAATATTCAGATGGCTTCATGTGAGATATTCTTTAGCTTGTATTTGCATCTTGAACTATATAGGGGATATTGGCTGATGTTTTGTCTTTTTTATTGATAACCTCCTCACTCCTATTCTAAAAGTATGTTTCTTTGCTAATCCTTGCGATCTTTGTTTCAACATTCATATTGTCATGGCCTCTGTGTTGAGCTTTGTAGATTGAGTCAATTGTGGTACTGTCAAAAGGGGCAAAAGAAAACCAGGGGGTCATGTCAATTGTGGGAATGTTAGCTTTGCGTACCGCTTTCTGTAACTTATTAGGCTATCATGTGTCAATTCTCCAAGAAATTCTTGTAAATGAATTGATTAAAGTGATTTGCATTTTGTTGTATTATGTCTATACTTCACATTATACTTAAGGATCTATGTTGTTTGTACATTCAATAATTGAATTTCAACTTTTAGGGTGTGAACATTGGTACACCTATATATGATATATTTATTGTATTGATATATGTGACTTTCAAGGTTTACATTGCTGATCAGCATCTCCATCAAAGGGTGAGAGGTGTGCTCATAATTTGATTTTTCTTCCTAGACCCTCTGACCCCAAATTCTAGAAGTCTCGTGCAGTTTCCTTAGCATGCTCTTTTAAATGTATATTAAACAAATTATTAGCCTTCAACCAAGGCTTAGTGTTTAAAAATAGTGTATTTTACATTTATATTTATCATTTTGTACCAACATCTTAAAGGACTCTGCAGAAGCTTGTTCTATTGGGTGATGTTTTCCACCTTCTCAATTTTATTTTCATAGGTAATTTGAATAGCTTGTCATTACAGTTCACAGTCTTCCTCTTTTTTACAATATTTTCTATTGGAGCATTAAGCTTCCTTGCATTTTCTTAAAACGCTATATTGGAATGAGAATAAATAAGGTGCAACAATATTATGGATTGATTTGCATGTGTTTCTCGTATCTGATGTGTGATTTGTCCTTCCTATGCAGCAATGACAAATCAAGAGCTTATTAATGCTGGGAATAAGACTTTGGATGAGACTGATCAGGCCATTGAGCGCTCTAAACAGGTGAGAAATTTACTGTGAACGGCTCTTGGCTTGCTTACTGTATCAGCTTTCTAATTATAGTTTGGTTGCCTAGGTAGTTGCACAAACTGTTGAGGTCGGAACTGAAACTGGAGCTAAATTAAAGGGTCAAGTAAGTATTCATAATTGATTGGTCCTATCTCAATCTTTTATGTAGCAGAAAATAATTTAATTGTATTTGTGCAGACTGATCAAATGGGTCGTATTGTTAATGAGCTGGATACTATTCAATTTTCACTCAAGAAGGCATCTCAGTTGGTGAAGGAGATTGGTCGGCAGGTCTGTCTTTTTTTTTACTTATAGTTTGTGCTCAGATTGCTGTACTTCCTTTGCTTCATTTTAGTTACAACAAGGATTTTGGCACTATTCATACTCTCTCCTATTATATCATATTGTGATTTATACGGAAGAAAAAGTCACGTGGGATCTTGTAGGATTTGTCTTAATTCATACTTTATTAAAATCTGCTTTTTATAATTTTTACGAAATCGCAACCAAAGATATTAATAGTTTAAATTTTGTGTTGGCAAGCGTGAAACTTTTAGTGTTGCAAGTAAAATGGAGCGGAGGAAGTATTACTTTTATTATAAGCTCCATGTCATCTTGACTGATGTAAATACTTTCTGTGTTGCAGGTTGCCACTGACAAGTGTATCATGCTTTTTCTCTTTCTTATCGTCTGTGGTGTCATAGCCATTATTGTTGTGAAGGTATATCCCTTATTTATTATCATTTCTATGGTATTGTGAAATTTGTCCGCTAGCCTGCTTTCTTATGAAGTCGGTGAAACAGTTGGACAACATTGTTATCGTTGTCGTCTGTGGTATTATAGCCTTTTTCTGGAATTTGGCGGTCTGTTAATGAACGGTTAGACATGCTGGAGAAAATTATGTATTTTGTTAGTATACCTTAATTTTTTTTTGTTTTTATCTTTCTTTCCTGCACGGCTATACCTTCACTTCTGATTAGCAGATCCTATTTACAAATCTTGTGCCTAAATTTATGACACCAATTATTTGGCATCAGAAGCCTTACTATTGTTTGAATTGGGTTGTGGTCCGCGTGGCCTATTGATCTGTGCTGAAAATCTTGATCTTATTTGCTATGCCTGCAGATTGTGAATCCAAACAACAAAGATATTAGGGACATTCCAGGATTAGCACCTCCAGCCCCTGCAGCAAGAAGGCTCTTGTATGTGAAAGCTGAACATTTCGGATAGATTGCTGCCATTGGATTCTTCCACACTTCAGTTTGGATTATTGGTTCCATTCCCCTATAGTTTGTGCATATCGAGTTTGTGTCATTTGTAAATCATGTTGAGGAGATTTTTGTTTATCCTTTTGGCAGTCGCATTCTCCTCAAAAGCAACGGCTTTCAAGATCATTGTATCCACATTCAGGTTATTTTGCTGTCAATATTTTATCCTGTGTGTAATAGTAAGCCACTCAACATTTAGAGGATGCAGTAAATGTGTGTTCATTCTTTATACATTTGTGTTGATATGCTTTTTCTCTGTCACATTTTTTATATTCCAATAGATTGATTGGAAATACTTGGGGTTTTTTTTTTTTTTTTTTTTTTTTTTGTTTGTTTGTTTGTTTGTACTTCTTTCACAGCCTCTGCCCAAAAGCACAATGGAAGGTACTTATCAATTTGTACTCCATTTCAAAATAAGAGGAATTTAAGTTTTTCAAAAAAGAAAAAAAAAAGGAAGGTTTGAGTTTAATCTTTTGTTAGATGAAAAATATATTGTTAGTTTGTCTTAAATAGCAAAGATTATATACATATACACTCGGGTGCAAGGTGTATTCATGAGTATAGTTTTGCTCCTTTTGATGATTATTGTTCATTCAATCATTAAATGAGTAATAAATATCCTTAGGTGCAACTTTCACCCGGGTGGATATTTAAATTTTCAACATCGATTTGTATTGTATGAGTGATACAGAATCAATACCAATTTTCACTTAAAATAGCGTGTATTTTTATTTTTTTAATCATAAACTATAGCAATATATGTTAATTAAAAACCGTAGGTCAACATCGAAAAATGTGGGTGTGAAGAGTATCATTTAGACATTATTAATGTAATTCATGATAGTTGCATATGAACCATGTGAACATTGGTGTGTAGAAGGAACGAACCAATGTTATTGACATTTTCAGCATCCTCGTCTAATTATCTACATCACATGTAATGCATGTCTACTATTGTCTTTGGGTAGCTGAGAAATATGCCTTTGACGGTTTGACCATTGTGAGGGGCAGTTGACCTTGGGGATAGACCTGGCTTTCTAGTCTCCATGATTCTTATATGACCTTATGAATACTCCTTCCGTTTCTTTTCAATTTTCACGCTTTGATATTTTTTCTCCCATAAAAAGATTCTAAATGTAAAGATTAAAAAGTGACAGTGGGAATAATAAATAACTAAATTCAAAGTACAAGTATATCCATATTTTTATATTTTTGGTGCTATAAAATTCGATTTAAGGTTTTCCATACCAAACTTGAAGACTTTGACCAAATAAGTCCACTGGCATTTGCGGCAGTTAATTTAGGGATGGATTTGATTAGGGTATTAGTTAGTCTTTTAGCCAAAAAAATAAGTTGGTTTTAAAAAAAGTGTAATGTTATACATATAGCTCTTAGGGGTACAAATAAGCATTTAATATCTTTCTTTTTTTGGTATAAGTTTAGAAATGCATGACAAAATTACGCGCAAATCAGTGTAATTAATAAATATATTTTATTAATACTTTCCTCTTTTAACTTCTTATACATAGTCCTTAGGGCTACATATAGCATTTTTCTTATAAGAAAAAAAGGGGGTTGACTAGACTACCACTTGGTAATGGTTACCATTTTTTTTTTTTTAAGAAAATATGAATAATTGGAGTGAATTAAGTCAAAACTGAAATGTGGGTTGCCTACCCAAGTTCCTCTCTTGAGTCATGAGCTCATGATATATAACGCTCCTAACAGTCCTAAGTTATCGATCATTCTTGCTGAATATAGGCGTTATTTGGTCCAATCTATTTATTATATATTTTCCATTGTATATCCAATTACTTTAGTGCTCATATAAAATTTTCATTGTATATCCAATGCCTTTATTGCTCATATCAAATTCCTTTAGACTTCATTTGTTTCGATGGAAAACATATTCCAAGAAAATTTTCATTTTTCATTGTTTGGTTAGTAAAAAGTGGAAAAATAATTTTTCCAAAGGTGAAAAATAATTCTCCCAATAGTGAAAAATGTTTTCGTTTAAAAAAAGAGGGTATGCTACATTTTCCTCCATACTCTTTACATCCCTTACCACTCCTCTCATCCATCTCCCCTCCCTTCCACACCTATTTTCTCCTTCCTCTATAATTTTTTTTGCATAGAAACAAACAAAAGAAAACTATATTTATATTGTGGTTTTCCCAAACAATTGTTTTCCGTTGAAACAAACGGAGTTGTCCTTGGTACAAGTCTCGTTTGTTGAAAGGTAACTAAGGTAAGAGCAAGCCCTCCATTTATACATTATAATTAACAGTGTTATTTCAATTTTTACACTATTTCTAATACAATATTTAATTTTAAGTATAAACATCTTCATACAATCATACATATTATTAAAAAAATAAAAGGTTGACACATTTAAACTATTCATCGAAACAATTTAACGAACTCACATGCATGAGTAAACTAATACTCGGTAGCTAATTAGGGCATAAGAATCACTACTTAGTGAGGGTAAACAATATAGTTATGTACCAATATTATGATTCAATACTTGAAATAGCTACCCGTTGTAACAATTTTGGTCTAAACACATGCTGCAAACCAATCTACGTAGATGGTAATTGTGTAAACAAATTCTAAGCTAATGCAAGTTAGAGAACTAATTAAGTTGTTAAACATCTCCCAATATTAAAAGAAAAATAAAAACTACTCCAATGGCGGACTTACATACAACTAAATGAGGTCAAGGGACTCCACTTGAACATGGAAGAAGGAATTTTTTCCCTTTAAAATTAAGTTTTTTTCCATAAAAATTACTCACTTGATCCCATTAAAATTTGTAAAATGTTATTTGATCTCGTTAAGTATACTTTCTGGATCCACCAAAATTAGTAGTTGAATATATGCCATGCAGAAGATTACACCAATAAATACAAAAGTACTCTAACTATTAATGATTTCCCTCATTCGATCATCGAAATTATATTTGACATCATAAGACAAGGCCATATCACATTAAGATCTCTTAATCAGTATTCACAACTACTGTTCTTTGCAATCTTAAGTAACAACCTAACGATCGACTAAATAATTCACTTGATTAACACCATTATTAGATAAGGATGAGACAATATAATGGTGGTCCAACTGATAATTATTTGCTATGATCTTATGTTATAACCAACCATAAACATTACATGCATTGAATGTTCTTTTGTTACCAAAATTTAAACACGGCATTTTACTTATGTTTTGATCAGCCGGTAAGGGAGCCATTATATCTTTATCAGATCAAGTTTAAGTTCGTAGCTATAGTTGATGGGAGAACTTCTTCCCATTTGAGATTACGATACAACTCAAATTTGGACATTTGAAATCAAAGATTTAATTTGTTTTGGTGCATAGATTAAAAAAAAAAAAAAAAAGTCACAAACCGATGTTATGTTTTCGTTAACATGTCATAATCATGTGTTTTATACGGGATTTAACTTAATTAACCAGATGCTTAGAACCCCATGTCGCATGTTTGCTATTGTCTTAACTTGGTTAGTCTTTGATTAGCCAAATAAAATTGTGTACATGAAGGCGCCGAAATTTTGTTGTCCATATTATCCTATAATAATTAGTCTCTCCAACAGCACAAATGTCTTTGTTTTAAGTCTCAGGAAATTTCAATTTCTTGTTCTTTCTTTCAATAACTAAAGTCCAAATTGGAACGTTCAACGTTTGTCTTTATCACTTAACAATCGCAACAAATAGGTAAGGCAGTCTTGATCTTAAAATTGGTACCACTCCAAATTTGATTACAGGTTGTAATTAATGTTCATACCCTTTATCCAAGGGCACGTCAAATACTCAAGCTAGGTATGGTAACTATCTCCTCGCTTATTTTTCAATCGAATAGTTATTGTTCATATCTGTGAGATTAATCGATGTCATCATTTTACTTAAAACTTTTTCGTAAATACATAGAAGAAAATTCTAAGCTCTCCTATCTGATCAAGTTTTTAAACTTACCACATTTAAATTCAAATTACCCTCAATATGGTAACCCCTCAACCAACTGTTTATATCCTCACTAAATCGTTTGTATATCATATATGACCTTAAATTTATATAAAAATGTTCAACGTATATGTTATTAAATTTCAAGCTTTGTATATTTTGCCATCTCATTATAATTATGAGAAATTAGTTATCAAATATTAACACGAAAATTGCAAGGGAGATTCTTTACAAGAAGGAAGGCATTGCAAGCATTAAAGATTAATATAGAGAATTGAATCAACTTTCAAATCTTACAGCTATAATATTATTTAATAGAAAATAACTGAACGAAAAAGTTAACCACGTTTGTTGATGTATGTTCTTCTTATATAACACATGTGATTGTTTTATTGATAAAATTACAGATAGTTAGAACACTTTATAATAAGGTTAAGACTTAAGAGGGTATTCTTCGCATATAATTTTGGGATTTGATCTTCTTGAACTTGTGAATTGGACTGTTTCTCTTGGTCCAAGCTTGTAGTTAACGTACTTTCTTGATCTTAAGACCATGATCATAAGTTAATACATTTTCGTGATGAATACATTAAAGGAAATTGAAAATTCATTCTCATAAAGTCCCTTGTTTTCTAAATTTAGTTGCAATCATGTGTTGTTGAAAATACATTTCGAAACCACTGTCAAGTAGGAGTACACTACAATTTAGCATTCAAATGACTAACTACAAATCTATTAACTTTTAGTTGACATAAATTTATAGCTACAAAACATTTTGGATACCATTGTCGGAGTCCAACCGATCATACAACCATGTATAATTGGACGAAAAGAATTATTGAGAATTCTAAGAATGTTTTAATTAGCCTCAAATCTAATCCCTTAGCATCTTTGGGGTGTTGATAGCTCTCTATTAATATTAATGCATTATGCATGAAAATTGATAATTCCTTTTTTTTTTTTTTTAATTTTATTCTTCTTCTTTTCCTACTACCTTCATTAAATATAAGTTGCAACTGCAGGATATTATTTGTGAGATATAAAATATTCCAAAGTTACAACTAATACTTAATGGAAGAAGTATTTATAATATACATATGATCTTTAGAATGTTTTTTGTAATTATTTTGTATATCTCGGTCGTGCAAGCTATATTTACTTTTATAGTTAAGGCAAAATTGTCCGGAATAATCCGATCTTTACCTCATCAGTCCAAAATAATCCCACCTTTCGATTATTTTTTTTAATAATCTGAGCTTTAATGCCAATCCGCTTCAAATGATCCCAAGTGACTTGTAACCGGTTGAGTAGG